TTGCATAATTTGTTGATGTGAAATATTTGATTGTGATAAGGTTATATAATGGATGTTGTGCCAGGATTGTGGTATCTGTGTTGTGATAAGTCAGTCTTTCATATATTGAAAGTTTTTGACTATTCTGTGCAGTGTGTGTCTTCACTTCTGCCATGACCAGTATAGAAACAATGTGTCTTCACCTGTACCATTACCAGTATAGGAGCAGTATCTGCTCAGTTAGGCTTGTTACTGCAATGGAATCTGGATAAAGATTACATACCTTATGTGGTTCTTTATCAATATAAATTAACCCATTCACTGTTTTGCCATTCATAACTGCAGTAACAAAGACTGAATCCTCTTTTTAGTATCAGCTTGCTGCATACTGACTTTACATATAGCACCTGCCATTTTTATGTTGAAGCGATTGGTTTTGAGCTCTATCTCACCAATACTTGCTGTTATTATATCTTACTATGAGTTTTGCCTGCATGTTCACTGTATTGATTTCACAAGGTGACATAGTAGATCATAAATGCAGCACTATACATTATAGTGAATGGGTTAAATAACTCTAAACAGATGTTCAGAATAGCTAATATAGTATAGGTACAGACTATGAAGTAATTATAGAGCTTTAAATGGAACTGTCATTTTTTATAAGTTACACTTCTATGATATAGATTTAGAGATTCTCCCTCACAGTATGTGATGCTATAACAGAGAAATATACATTAATAGTTAATTGCCTTATTTTCCTTCTTCAATTGACAGCATGAACTTATGTACCATAATGCAAAAAGGTACAGCCAAGTACAGTAATGCAGAAATGTATATAGATATTTTTATATAACCATATACCTGCAAGAGCTAAACAGCAGCATGATATCCACATACATGTAAAAAAAAAAAAAATCAATTTTATTTATATTTAGTTGAGTACATTTTGTCACTTTTTGAGCAAATATATATTTCTATCTGCATCACTCTGAGAGTATAGTGTACTTAATGAATATTTTGTTTTAAGACTTTTCTTGTTACTTGATTTTTCATTTAAAAGAGTGTAAGAAGTATATTATTATAATTTAGGTACAATGCATTTATATATTGTTTTGAATTATATTCCTTATTAGAACTAATCTTAGAGCAGAGATCTAAAGAGAAGTAACACTGAATTCATACTTGCTTTGCATTATCAGCACCAGTAGGTTGTTGACTGTGATCTCAGTTTATATATGAAGCTTTAAGGAGTACTATTACCTTTTTTTTCTTTCTTTTTATTCAAAATTTGGGGACACATAATCACAGGTGGATTTGATTGTCTTAATTAACATGACAGACCGTACAGTGAATTAACTGAACACATGTATTCTCGAAGTTTATAGTACATTTCAGTATGACATTATTCACAACACAAGAAACACGCATATGCACGCACGCACTTACATACAAACTCACACTTGCACTTATATTAACACACACATTCATTCTAGAATATTTCCATACATATAGTTTAATCATGTCCTCTCATATTTATCAAATTATGTCATATGTATGTATATAATGTATGTGCAACTTTTTTGTATAGGGGGAATGTGCATGTGTGCTTGCTTGAGTGTGTGCATGGGCATGGATTTAGGTATGGGTGTGTGTTTGTGTGCACTTGTACATACACATGTGTGTGTGTACATGTGCATGCATGTTCATGTACATGTTTGTGTTTGTGTTCATGTGGGTGTGTATGTGCGTGTGTGTCTGTCTCCATTTGCATCTGTGTCTGTCTGTGTCTTTACACATGTATGTGTTTGTCACACTAATAATGCATGTGCTTCTTTTCCCCATCAATTTATCAAATTGCCAATTATTTTCTGCTCCTACAATTTTCTTTCTAAAGATAACCTTTGCTTACATGCATAGTCTCTAGAAAGTGCACAATAGAATCAGCATAGATAGAAAGAAGAAAAAATCCCTTAGCTTCCATGGTTCCTAGCAATTACTTGTGCTTATTTTAAAAGACAGCCATTAAGCATTTCTTATTTGCATTGAAGAGATCCTTAAATATCTTTGTATTCCATATTTCTGTGTAAACAAAACATGTGACAATTGATGGGCGAGTGGTATATAATGTACGTGTGACAAATTAGAATTGCTTACTGTGTTTGTAAAACCCTGTCAGTGTGAATTTGAAACAAATACAGTATATGTAGATAGTGATAAGGTGAAAAAAAAGTGTTTGACATACCCAAAGTGCTGTATGTATTGCAGCTGATCAGCCTGCAAAGCAATTGATGTATATCCTAAAAGAGATATATAAAAAGTTAAATGTTACAACTCTTTTTTTCATCATACTGAAAATTGCTCAATTACAAAACATCATGAAATATCACCTAATGTGAAATCTATGGTTTGTATGTTAACTTTCTTATAGCATAATCTTTCTCTTAACTTCCACCTTCCCCCTTCCCTCACTTCACTCTTACTTTCCTCTTGCTCTCCCCCCAGACCTCATGCCTATTGA